AGTAGAGGGTCAGTGAGTGAGTAGAAGGTCAGTGAGTGAAGTAGAGGGTCAGTGAGTGAGTAGAAGGTCAGTGAGTGAAGTAGAGGGTCAGTGAGGAGAGGGTCAGTGAGAGAAGGAGGCCCCCCACGAGGCTGACTGACCCGGTGGCTGCCCACGAGGGGCTCGCCCCTGTGCCTGTGAGTTTGGGGCCGGAACAGCCAGCGTTTCAGCTTGCTGCATTTAGGGTCTGGATAAAGAACGGACTCAAGTGGTGGCACTGAAAGACCATAATAGTAAATGCCTTTATAGGAAAGATAGCCTGTGTCACCATCTGAAAATAAAACAGGCAAAGATGCAAAATGGGAAAGAAACAAAACCCCTATGGCCACCAGCTTGGTTCCAACCCCCCATTGGATTCCCAAGGCTGTGAATGTTTCCAAGATAACACTGTCCGTCTTCTTCCCACTGCTGGATCTGAACTGCTGACCTTACAGTTAACTGTGCAGTGTGTTAGACACTGCTGTACCAGGCACCCCATAACTGATGATACATGCATGAAATTGGAACCATCCACCAAGCAATTTCTCAAATAGCCACCAAGTTTCCCCTTTACTCAGTGTTGAGTGGATCCCATCTGCACTGCCTTGAAGTGTTATCATTGTTGGTCTGTGTACCAGAGAGTCCAAATTGACCCATAACTGACCCTCCAGTAGGTTTTCAGAGACAGTTAGTCACATGGGAGGAGATTGCCCATCCTTCTCCCATGGAGCATGTGGTGGCCTCGAACCACGAGCTTTCAGGATTGCAGCACAGCTTCTTGCCACTAGGCCAGCAGTGGGGGCATACTTTTGCTTTATTCAGTGCTCAGCTGGCTTGCCTTGCTTCTTGCACTAGATACCTGTCTGTCTAGTTTTAGTTTTCATGAGAAAATAAAATTCAATCCATTTTGCTTAGGCTTGACTTTTCTTCAGTTTGTTTATTAGTTAGAGGCTCATTAATTATTCCCTTTGTAGGTGAAGCATTTTCCCACCTCCCTACCCTTGAAATTGACTAGATAGCAGTGCATCATGTTCAAACAAACTTCAGATTCCCCGGGTTGTTGCCATGTGGTCAATGCCCTGGTCCGCCCTTCTCACACAAGCAAATTTTACTAAGTGGAAGAGACCAGAGGAGGGTACGGTGCCTGAGGACCAAGGTAGCACAGTGTCCAGCGGGGAGAGCTGACTTCACAGAGCATTAAAGTGTGGGCCAAAGCTCTGTGTGAGAGCACAAGGCTGAGAAGAAAGGCAAGGAGGCAGAGGAGAAGGGGTAAAGATAGATGTAATAGAAAGTTGCATCCCCAAAGGTGGATGGGCCTTCCTACTTGGGAAGAAAATGTGGAGGAGGCAGTGTGCCAGTGAGGCAAAGCCATATTTATGGCTTCCTTGTCTGTGCATGCAGACATTCCTTGGGGCTGGAGTCCGAGCCAATGAGATGGTGTTGTGAAGAGTTCAAAGTTCAGTAGGTGGTTCTTATTCCAGTCCACTGCCTTTGATGGCCCCTGTGTACCCAGAGAGTCCGCCGCCTTTGATGACATCCGTGCACCCAAAGCACCAGTTCTGTGACTGCCAGTATCAGCTTCCTGGTTCTGAGAGCTCAGTTTCCAAGCAGAAGACTTCCTCTCCTCTCTCCTTGGTTCTGGTCTTAACACTGTGGCTTCGAAGGTCTACGTGGAATATTGTTGAGCCAGGATACTGGTTTAGTGCTTTTTTTTTTAAAAATAAAAAAAAGGTGAAATATTAGCTCTCCTCTTTCCTAACCTCATCAGGAGGAAAATAGAGTGGTGCCTCTTGAGTTTCTCTCTTTTGACTTTTGAGCTGGAAGAAACACACTCATCCTCCACGCAGGAAAGCCTTCTCCTTGACATAACCACAAAGCATGGCGCAGATTCACTGGGCAGATCTGCTCAACATCTGCTCCTCATCACGTGAAGGAGGAACTTCTGAGAAAAGAGTTTCTCGGGATTTCCAAGAATCTGAAGTATGTTTCCTCAGTGTCTTAGCTCTTCATTTCTAGACTACTGATTCTCTATTTAATGATAATATTTTCTCTAATATCTACTAGGTGCAACACAAAGCCTCACTCTGGAAATGGGAGAGAAAAGAGAGATTGCTAAATCTGGAAAATTTAGACTTTGATTCAAAAACATCTTGTTGTGAAAATTGTGACTTATCTGTAGCCCCAAACCTCAAATTTGGTCAGACTCTCTGTGTTGGGGTGGAGGTTTACCAAAGTCATTACTGGCTGGTTATGACTTCCAAATTGGGTAGGTGGTGATGAATAAAAGGTGATTTTGCTGCTCTGTCAGCCTGCAAGGCTGCAAGAAAATAACCCAGAATGGCGAGGCCTAGTTTGGATTCCCTTTGCTCCTGGATGAACTCTGGAAAGAATTGAAGTACGTAAAAATGGTACCAAGAATGTTTCTCCATTCTGTTCCTCATGGTAGATGGCATGAACCAGACATGCTTTCAGCCAGGGAAGCAACACCCCACCACAGCCCAAGCGCTGCATGAGGGGTCTGACAGGGTCCAGTCAGAGGCCTCAGTCCCCAGCACTGCTGGATGGAAGTCACGTTCCGTGCTATGTATGAGCATTTTGCTATGACTGCAGTGGGAAGATGGGATGTCTTGGAAATGTTAGTGCAGTAAGAGCTATCAAGAGGCACATACACAAGGTACTATTGTGCATCTGTGATAAGGTGCTGAGCACAAAGGGTCCTGCAGACAGAACCAAGCGCTGTCATACCTGTTGATTCTGTGTCATGGCGACTCTGAAAGAGTGGAAGCACCAGAGCTGCCCCGTCGAGTGGCCAAGGCGGTGCTCTTTACAGAAGAAGCTCACTGCTGCATGTTCCTCCTACGGAACAACTCGTGAATTGGAGCCACTCACCTTTTGGTTAGGAGACAAAGGTTTTCCATTGTTTTCATAAGCGTTTTGCATTCAGGTTAGTCTGGGTTTAGACTCTGCCACTAACTAGCTTGATGTTGGGAACCAGTCACCTCTCAAGACTTCAGTTTCCCCATCTGTAAAATGGAAATGCACAACCTAGACCAAGAGACAGTCATGTGAACAGAACAAAGGGAAATAACATGGTCTCCATTAAGAAAGGTGTACGTCAGGGTTGTATCCTATCTCCATATCCATTCAATCTGCATGCTGAGCAAATTATTCAAGAAGCTGGACTCTATGAAGAAGAAAAATGTGGCATCAGGATCACAGGAAGACTCTACAACTTGCATTATGCAGATAATACAACCTTGCTTGGTAAAAGTGAGGAGGACTTTGAGCACTTGCTGCAGAAGATCTAAGACTACAGCCTTCAGTACAGATTGCATCTCAGTGTCAAGAAAAGAGAAATTCTCAGAGAGCTCTTGTGACCTAGTGGCAAAAGCTGTGCTGCAATCCCAAAGGCATGCAGTTCGAATCCATGCTCCGCTGGAGAAGAAAAAGCAATTTCCTCCTGTCCAGTCAGATCCGACTTGACAGTACGCAATGGGAGGGGAGGGGAAGAAAAGAAAAAATTCTCATCACTGGACTGATAGGCACTGACATGACCCAAGGAGAAGAGATTGAGACTGTCAACAACTTCCTCTTCCTTGGATCCACAATCAACACCCTTGGTACAAGCAGTCAGGAAATCAAGAGATGTATTGCACTGGGAAAGCCTTCACTCAGGGAACTCTCCAAATTATTGAGGAGCAATAATGTCAGTTTGAGGACACCCGATTCAGGTCATGATCTTTTTAATCACTCGCTGTGCATCTGAGAGCTGGTCAGTGAATTAGGGTGACAGAAGTATTAATGCCTCTAAGCTCTGGTGTCAGAGAAGAGCACTGAAGATCCAACGGATTGCCCAAAGAGCAGATATATCTTGGAGATGATATAGTCAGAGTGCTCCTTGCATGCAAAGATGATAAACGTCTGTCTCACATACTTGGGGCAGGTTGCTAGGAGAGGCTATTCCTCGGAGAGGAATGTTATGCTCAGAAAAGTGGAGAGTCAGCAAGAGAGAGGACGACCTACCCTCAGCCAGAAGGATTGGCACAGTGACTGCCACATGGGCCCTAGTGTGTCAGGAAGTGTGAGGAGGGCACAGGAGAGAACAAGGTCAGATCTGTTGTGCACAGGGTCGCTATGAGTCATGCTTGACTAGATGGCACCTGACAACAGCAACAACAACAAAATAGGAATAATAATCTCTTCCTCTAGAGATTTATAAGTACAATATAGATAGATATAGATAGATGATATATAGAGATAGAGATATAGATAGATATATCAGAGACCCGAATGTGATCACCCACAGGGGTTCCCTAACTGAAAATCACATCTCAAAGATTCCAGAACGCTGTGGTTGAGAGAAAATACCGGGGCCGTTGCACTCCTGGGTATCAAACCTTGAAGAAAGTTAAGGGAAGAAGTTGCAGATAACTGACTAGCCAGTTGGGAGGGTTCTGTCTTGATTTTAATTAGGCACGCTCTTGCTCTCCTCGTTACCACAGATAATCAGGAGGCTTGAGTCAGCACTTACCAGAAGGGCATGATTTGCTCCAGAGAGGTAACACAAGTTCATGTTTTTCTTCCTCATTAGATGAACAAATGAAACAATTTCTTCTTCTTCTTTTTCTTTTTTTTTACTTTATATTTCAGTGACAAAATGTTCCCAGCCTTTGGATTCGGCGCCCGGATACCTCCCGAGTACACGGTGAGTAAGTGGGGACAGCATTTGTCTTCACTCGCTGGGGCTCACAGGCACAGGACTTCCTTCACAAAAGCCTGCCTCAGGGTCCTTGGCAACGCTATGTAAATGGAGTGCAAAGTGTCTGAAACCATTTACACAGTGAGCGAGGTTACCGCCTCAGCATCTATCCCTCGACAAAACCCAGTCTCCTATTCTTCTGAGTTGTTCTCAGATGTCCAAAGGAAGGGTTCCATTGTGGGGTTTTTTATAGATACCATTAGAAACAAAACTCTCAGATATTGATTTCCAGGGGTTCAGACCTTACAGATTCTGAGTCCTTTAAGGGGAAAACATAAAACCCTAAAAGTCCATGTAAAGAAGTCTACGTATTCATTTATGTCAAGACTCTGGATCCAGGCTTGCATAGGAGACTCAGAGAAGTTCTGAAGAAAGAACCGGCTAACTTAAAGAATTGAGAAACTGAAAGCATCTTTCCAAAGATAATGGAATCCCATTTGGTCCTGTTCCTGACTTTTTTGACACAGAGAAGGTAAAGCTTGTGTGGAGGGAGACATGTGCTGTGAAGGAGTGGGGCCTCTGCTGTGGTGTATGCCGGTGCCCCTGTGGGCTGGTTCTTGGGGAACACAGGCCTCCATCTCCCAACTGGAACGGCCATGGAAAGGCCTGAGCTGCCCATGTCTGGGACTTGAGCTAAACAGAAGCAGAGCTGTTTAGTCATCAGTTTGCCACGGATTGCATCTGAAACACTGGTTAGGAGAATGCACACCGGAGCTGTAGACCAGGTCCAGTGTCCTTTGTGAGAGAGGGAATTGATCTCTGTGGCCACACAGCGGACGGACTGTCTTTCCTACCTGTCCCCTCTTCGTTTGCCTTGCAATCGATACTGGCCTTCCTGCTGAGCATGGCTGTGCAAGTCTAGGAGCATTTGTTGAACACATAGGTCACGGCGAGAGATCATAGAGTAGAGGTCGAAAAAGATGCTAGACCAGGAGCCATAGATCTACTACTAGGCAATAGACCAGCTCATAAATACGATTAGTGGATACATTTTTTTAGAATTGAGAAATTTCCTAGAATATGTCAGATTTCTGGCTTCTCTTAAAAAATGAAACATTCTGGTAACACTAAGATTAAAAGATGTCACATAAAGGAATGAGCCCAGGTTTGAGGAGATCTAGTCTCCTTCAGATGAGCTAACAGTTCTGGCATGGGGACAGGCAGGCATCTATTGTCTTCCTAGAACTGGGGTGCCTTGAGGCTAGAATGCACCCAACATCCAACAGTCCAACTCCCCAGAAGCGTGGAGAGTCCTCTACGAATCTGGACCACGTCGTCTCTGGGCCTGGTCTTGGTCCAACATGGCTGAGGACACAGCTTTGCATGCCTGGCCCCAGGCTTTCTCTCGCTCTTCCTTGATATCTGCACCCCTGTTTCTGACACCCCAGGCTACCTGGGTCTTCTGCCTCTGAGGCAGGCATCCGGCGTACTCCCCACCACGGGGGAGTGCAGTGATTAGGGGTTGAACTGGGACCAAAGCCCAGCAGTTAGAATCGAGCTGCTGCTCTGAGCAAGATGAGCAGTCTCCCGCTCAAAGACAGAAGCCGTGGGAGCCGGGCAACATCATCATGAGCTGGAAGAAACAAAAACGGGGGGGGCTTCAGTTAGTCCTCAAAAGTCATTCAAGTATCACATCCCCGTCATTTCCCTCCGCCCTGGACAAGCACTGAAGCTCTCCGGAGCTCAGGCACCCCTAGAAGGTTTAGAAAGGCACCAGGGTTTCTTTCTTTAGGACGTAATCTTAAGAACATCCTTAAGACTTGGACACAAGGACCTCGCTTTTTGTTCACTAGATTTTCAGACAAGGATTTGGTTGTAAACTGTTTATGTAGAGATAAAGGAAGCATCAGAAAGGTTGGGGAAGCAGTGAAGAACGTCTATGAGGGGTTCAGCCAGCAAGTCAAGTGAGTTACTGTGGGCACCAAGGAAATGAGACAGGCACACAGCTGCTAGTTGTTGCACATGGACTGCTGCCAGGGAGCATTCCTTGGCCAGCATTCGTGGTTGGCCGCTTGGCAAAGCAGACTCCAGGGGCCTTACAAAGCCCTATGGCAAAGAAACCTCGATAAAAACGCTGGGATATTAGCTGCAGTACCTGCAAGTCCTAAAGGCCAAGAGATGAGCTAGGAGCCCACAGCATCTGCTGTGACCCAGCAAAGAGGGCTTCTTTTCACCCAGTGATCTAGTGTTTTGTCCCACGGAGCCAATACTTGGAGACAGAAGTCTTCCTCGAATTCCAGAGGCCCAAAGGCCACACTCCTAACCACGGCCATGGAGGAGGGACAAGCCCGCTGTTGCTCCCACGGGGTTTACAGGCCACACGGGAGAAGACTCCCCTCCTCCTGAGGGCCCCCATGGGTTTAGCACCACAACTCTCCACAGACGACACCCTCAGTGTGCCTTTCGATGCAGGTGTGGCCCTCTTATTTCAGGAAGTTTGGGAGAAAGAAGAGTTGTTGGTTTTTAATGCAATTTCACTTTGCGCTTAGGTCCTGCCAGAAAGATGAGTTTCTGCTGGGAAATTGAAATGTGCATTACCGTACTATTTCCCCAAAAAGAGAGTTAAAGGGGAAAGCCAGGTTTCTAGAGTGTGGTTGTTTGACCTGTATATATCCTTTTGACTTGAAATCTTTTGGCCTATAGTTCTACACGTCATGCCAGAAAGATCCTTAAATGTCAACAGCTTAGCTGAGGCCTTTCTACGTATCACCATGTAGGGAAGACGGCCTGCATTATTGAGGAGGTGGTGGTGGTGGTGGTATTTTCTTTTTAATCACTTGGTCGATACAGAGTTTAGGAGAATTTAAGTGGCCAGTCTGTGACCAGTTATAACTGCAAGTTATACAAAGTCACATGTTCATGAAATATTTTCATGGCTTCTTTTAATGCCTTAATCTCCCCTCCTGCCAGCATTTATCTGAGTCTGGAAAATCGTCCTGTCACCTCAGCTCCACAGGGAACTCAGAATTCACTATCTAACCATGTTGACTGTGTAAAGGCTTCAAATGGTCCCTACTGCTTAGCACATAATGAATGTAATGGGCGTTTATTTGCACACTCTAAACCCCTGTGCCTCTGTGCTGTATTAAAGTTGTGATTCTCTTTCTTCCTCTGTAAAATCTTAATTACTGTCTAGGTCTCTCACGACTTTGCCATCAACTTCAATGAAGACAACCCGGAATGTGCAGGTAAATCACACTTAAAGCCAGTGTCTCCCAGCCCTTCCGCCCGCTCCTTCCCCAGCTTCGTCTCTCTCCTCTGAGGCTGCATTTTAGACCGTCCACAGGATAGAAGATGCCTCTCTGAATTCAAATAAGCCATGCTGCCCCATAATAACAGACTAGAAAAGTAGGAGCGGGAAAAGATTGCAGAAGAGGTCTTGAGTTTACATTAAGAATAGAAATCCTTACACAACATGGGTGACCTTGGATGACATTATGCTGAGTGAAATATCTCAGTCACAAAAGGACAGGTGCTGTATATAACACCACTGTTACAAAACAGGACTGGCATGGGGGGTTGGGGAAAACCTAAGAAAAGAGGAGACAAATGATGAGTACTGTATTAGAACAGATGAAGGAAAGAACTGTTTAAAAGAAATATATGATTAGGTATTATTGTATGACTGCAGTCCAGAGTAAGAGGTGCATAGCAAAGTGAACTAGGGAGGAGGGGTGAGGAAATTATGCAACGACGAATGAATATTTTTTTAAGTGAACTGGGGAGATAGGGAGGAAAACATACACCAATGAATGAAAGAAAATAGAACTTTTCTGTAAACGTTTGTTAAAATCATTGGGTTGAACAATCTGATGGGGGTGATGAGGGAAATGGGAAGAATTTGTTCGAATTTGTATTTGAGTTTTGTAAATAAACTAGTAGAGAAAAAAATCATGATAAAAATAACAAGACAAACAAAAAACCAACAGCAAAATTCTATAAATCCAATGTAGGCTTTTCCAGCTGGTGTAACATAAGGGGAGGTTCTCCATATGCGTGGGGACTGCCGTGTGGTGTCTTGGGGTTGACTGTGACTCGTAGCGACTCTGTGAACACAGATCCGACCCGCCCTACCCCGTGGCACCCATTGCGACAGTGACTGTGTCAGTCCACCTTCCTGTTGAAGACCTTCCTCTCTTTCTCTGACCTTCCGCTTTCCCCAGCATGATCTTTTCCCAAGGACTGGCCCCTTCTAACCTCATGCCCACAGTATGTGAGACCAAGTTTCACCATCCTCGTCTCTGAGAACACTCTGCTCACACTTCCTCCAGATCAGACCTGTCTTGGCGACTGTTGTTGTTGGATGTTGTCGAGTCATAGCTGACCCTCCAGCATGTTTTTAGAAACAGTATTTGCACAAGAGGAGACTGCCTGTCCTCCTGTGGAGCACAGTAGATTCGAACCACGTGACTTCTAGCTGGCAGTTGAACTCCTTACCTTTAGGCCACCAGAGTTCCCGTGTCTTGATGAAAGCCCCTTTCTTGCTTTCTACATTTTCATCAATTATTTGAGTCTCAAAATCCCCTTTGTATGAATATGTAAAGAGATCAGAAAACATCAAAATCGCTTGACCTTTCCGGCAACACCCTAGAACACATAACAGTTTTACTCTGTTCCAGAAAGCATTTTTAAAGACTCTGTCCTCTGAGCACCACTTCTAGGCCGACATTCTCAAACACAATTCTACAAGACGATGTTACTATGATGATGATTGTAATGATAATTTTCATTATAGGATTCATTTTTCTGTACATAACAAATATGTTTTAAGCTGTTCTGTCAAATCAAAGATAAGTGGTTCAAATCCACCAGCTGCTCCAAGAGAGGAAGATAGAAAACCTCTTCCCATAGTTACAGCCTCAGAAAGCTAGTTGAAGGGTAGCTTTGAGTTGGTTCCATTTGATAGCCATAAATTAAGTTGAGCTGACGATGAATAAAGCCAGGCTATTTGTTGCTATGAGACCTTAAGACATTTTGACAGTAGAGTAGGAAGAAACTTCCACATGTCTCTCATCCCTCTTATCAAAGAGGAGGGGGTCTGAACCAAGGTTAAAATGCAGGCTCAATGGGGCGTGAAAAGGTAATAATTTCTTTCACAAACTGACCATTCATGCCAAAGAGCATGGTATCAGCCCTGTGTCTGTACCCAGTCTTCATTCTGTCATTATTTCCGCATTCAGGCCCAGCAGTAAGGAGCTGTGCTGCCATCCCTAAGGCACCTGGTTCAAATTCAACAGGAAAATATGGACCATCTCCTCCTGTGTGATTAAGCTGCCTCTGAAAACACACTGGAGGTTCAGCTCTGAGATGAGTCCAACTCAACAGTAGACAACAATAACATCTTCCAAACTACTTTCATTCTTAATCTATCAGAGTGGTTTTCTATGAAAGCAAAGTAAAATACATACCCTATGCTCACCTGTCTCATACTCTTAGAATTCTTGAGCCTGATATTTTTGGAGGGGGGCAGGTGTGTGTCCAATTTGCTTATCTTAGGCAAAAACTCAAGAACCTCAAAAGATCAGGACTTCCACACAGGGTGCCTCAAGTCTGGACCCAGGCTCCATAATAATTTGGTCTTTGTCTTGAGAAGGACAGGCTTGGGGCGGAGCAAAACGGGAGCAGTTCATTTCAGTGAGTGAGAGCATACATGTAAGGACAGGACAGGGTCAGCCAGGTTTACGTCTTCAGAATGCCCAAGAGCTGGTCTGCCAGACATGATGGGTACAGGAATGACCTCAGGAGGGCATATATGGAACGTTCTGGCCAACGACGGACCAGTGTGCTGTGTCAGGGCAGAGACACTGCAGGAAGAAGGAGATGATGCAGGAAGGTACATGCAGCACAGGCACTGCTTCTAAAAGGTGCTGTTTGAATAAGAATAACTTCTAATAGAACTAACACTGTGGCATCATCGTTTTAATAATAAATGTGCAATCGGGATGCACCAGATGCTGGAAGATGCCGCACAGGCAAAGGACAGCCTCCCAGCAGTCTCTCCCCCTTCACGGTCTCCCAGGCTCCTGTGTTTCGGGATGGAAACCCCTCATTTAAAGAGGGGTTAGCCATCAAGAGGACCACCATGTACTGTACTTCACCCCAGCAGATGTACCCTGTGTACCCCATGCATACATGAGCACCATGCACTGTCCCCCAGTAGATGTACCCCGTGTATACACATATACACCACGCCCTGTCCCCCAGTAGATGTACCTCATGTATACATGTACACCACGCCCTGTCCCCCAGTAGATGTACCCCGTGTATACACATATACACCACACACTGTCCCCCAGTAGATGTCCCCCATGTATACACATATACACCACGCACTGTCCCCCAGTAGATGTCCCCCATGTATACACATATACACCACGCACTGTCCCCAGTTAGTCATAATTTCTGTCTCCAGGAATTTACCATCTGGAGAGATATACGTGTGCACGTAACTTGTAGGTGGCCTGGAGTGGATTCACTGCAGTCAGTCAGGCCAGGTGAAACGACACATGCATGAAAGCAGCAATGCTTAGTGGCTGATCACAAGAGCAGACCTCTTAGATCTAGACAGACCTGGGTTTGAATCCTTCCGTGCTCTGTGGTCTGGGACAGATTATTAAATCTCTCTGGGTCTTGAGTTTTTTCCTCTGTAAAATGGGTATAATCTATTTAATTATCCCACCCAACTCTCAGGAATCCTGGTGGTCCAGATACTAGGTATGTCACTGCTACCGAAAAGGTTAGTGTTCAAAACTCACCGGCAGCTCAACAGGAGAAAGCACTGCGCTTTCATAAAGAGGACTGGAAAAAATAAAGCCATCATGGTCAAGCTGGGACTAACTCGTAGCTAACCCTTCAGTGGGTTTTCAGAGACTATAAATCACAGGGGAGATTGTGTAACTTTATCTAGAAGGATTTGAACTTCCAGCCTTTGGGTCAGCAGAGAAACTCCCTGCTGACTAGACACCAGAGACCCATAAAGTTTACAGCCTTGGAAACAGTAGGCAGCAGGTCTATGCTGCCCATGGTGAGCCAGAAACAACCAGATTTCAGTGAGTCATGAGTGAAGATCTAATGGAATCTTACATGTGATGTGAAATATTAGACAGGAGTTTGTGAAAATGAGCACATGAGACTTGAGGCTTCAAAGAGGAGCAGGACTTGGAGGGGAAGGAATGAGCAACACTCGTGCTGGGATGGATCCTTTTTATCTCAAGAACGTAGTTGTGACGTTGATTAGGGCTGTTTGGGAGAACCTACGATCACCAAGAGAATAAACAGGTCTGTCCTGCAGAAAGTGAAACCCGCTTGTTTCTTGGGGGCTAGGATTTTGAAACTCCATCTCACATACTTTGGGCATGTTGCCAGGAAGGACCAGTCCTTGGAGAAGGATATTTGCTTGGAAGAGTGGAGGGTCGGCACAGGAAAGAAGACCTTAGATGACGTGGATTGATGCAGTAACTGTGCTAATGGGGACAGGTGTGTCAGAGACAGTGAAACTGGCTCAGGATACGACAGGGTTCAGAGCTATTGTGCATAGGGTTGCGGTGAGGCACAGTCACATCAATAGCACGTACAAACAACAACGTGTGTGTGTGTGTGTGTAATTAATTGCATACATATTTGGAGAAATCTTTGCCAATTTCATTTTAGGAATTCAAGGAGTTGTGGAAGCCTATCAGAGCTGCCTTCCTAAACTACAACTCTACGGGCCCACCAACATCGCGCCCATCATTCAGAAAGTGGCCAAATCAGCATCAGAAGAAACCAACACTAAGGAGGCTTCGGTAAGTTCGGGCCAGCCACCCCCTGTCGGGAGCTTACCACCTCACCTGCATGCTCACCCAGCCCACTCTGGTCAGACATTCTACCACGCCTATCTGTGAATTTGGACAAAAGTCTTAACCTTTCTCTAGCCTCAGTTTCTTCATCTGAAAACTATCTTAACTATCTCAGCTGAGTTTTTGTGAGGCTTCACAATGACATACATCGATGTCCCCTCACATTGCTTGAAAACATCATGTCACAGTTTCCCCTTCTAGCTACTGTCTGATAATTTACTCTTTTTTTAAAATTTTATTTTCTTAGTTTTGTGTGTGTGTACGGTCAAATTGGTTCTGACTGGTACAGGAGGAGATTGCCCCTCCTTCTCCAGCAGTGCGCCTGTACTTTACTCTTCTTTAAAGGGAAATTTGTTGAAAGTTTTACCTGTAGCAGATGTCTCAATCGCCCCTTCCATGGGCTCCTCCATCCATGTCTATCCGGGGCTCCTCTTAACATTTGAGATATGTGTCATCTTTGATGTGTTTGAGGGATGTCAAGAAAACCAGTGCCACTGGAGCCTAGGGAGAAAAAGAAGTTATGATCAGAGAGGCAGACAGTACAGAGGGAACGAGCAGGGGGCAGCCGTTAGTCACCACGGCCCTCAGCTTACTCTCCATCAGAGAATCAGCACTGACGAGGAGCCCATGGGTGTAAAGACGGTGCAGAGGTCTTCACTCAGAGCTCACATTTTCCTCAACGTGAAAGAATTCACACTGGCAGGAAGTTCTGACAAAGCGAGGAACGAGGAAAGCTCTTGACGTGCCTCACATCTGATTCCGCATCGGAGACTCCATGTAAGTGAGTCTTCTGACATGAACTTTAATCATGGCTCACGCATTCGGGTGGGAATTATGGGTAGTTAATGTAGAGACCCTCCTCCTGAGAATTCTGGCAAATGTGATTATGAGAGTACATTTGCTTTCTACAGCTCAGCACCAGAGATTTTAATCTGGAGGAAAGATGATGTTAATATAACCCACACAGAAAAACTCCCTATTATTACAACCTATTATAAATGATAATAGAGGACAATTCTGGTAATGTGAGCATTGGAAAGCCTTTAGCTGTAATGTGTGCTTTTTTCAATATCATGCTAGTTCTACTACTTGATTTCTCAGAGATACTATGATAATTAGCCTCTACTTTGGTTTAATCAAGGAACCCTGGTAGTTAAAGCACTTGTCTGCTAACCAAAAAGTCAGCAGTTCTAATCCTCCAATTACTTGACAGGAGAAAGATTGGCAGTCAGCTTGACAAAGACCCAGCCTAGAAACCCGGAGGGGTGCGGGGGTTCTACTCTACACTGCAGGGCTGCTGGGAGTCCAATTTCAAGGCAATGGTTTTGGTTTTATTTTTTAGGTCATAATAAGGGGCTTATATTTTATTTTTTGTGTGATAAAAGTTCAATGGATAATTTATAGCAAAACAGTTACATGATACGAACACTTTTAAAAGATCAGTCTATTAGAAATAGGAAGAAAACTAGTAAAATGTGTATGAGAATCAAAGGGGGGAACGTAGGAGCAGAGGGGTGAATAGGAGAGTGAATCATAGGGTCACACAGTTTGATGGATGGAGGGAAGGTTGGGTAAAGGAAATGGGAAAGATTCTGCGGGGATCTGGAAGCAGAGCAATGGTGGTCAGAGTTCAGTGTTGAGCCATTTTATAAATTATAATGAATCAGAATGATTGTATGAAACACAATGTGAATGAAGGATAGTGGGAAACACAATGTCTAAGAACTTTGTAAGCAAACCAGTATAAAATAATTTTTTATTTATTTTTTAAATACATTTAAAAAAACTTTAATGAGAAGATAGCATAATCAATTAACCAATTAAAAAAATTTTTTATAAAAGATCTGTCTGACTTCTATGTAGACAATGGCTGAGGGGTGGGATTAAAGCCGAGAGCTCATTTCCTGGGCTTTTGCCTAAGTCTGGGTGAGAGAAGTGGTTAAACTGGAATGAGTGGTTCTTGTCCAGGTACCAGGTTGTCATGTTTAGGATATATTTTTAACACATATCAGCGTAATTTACTGATGGATTGGATGAGTATGGTTGTAGCCAGTCTTCGGGGTTTTGCTGTTGTTAGGTGCCATCTGTAAGGTCGCCGAGGAAGGACAGAACCCCTTGAGGCCAAGAAGACAGTTTATTGAGGAGAAACTGCCAGGCTGGCTCTAAACTAGAGACCAGCAGCCACTTAAAGTTAGAGTGGAGTTTTATACTGTCTTACAAGGAAATTGGGAATTAGGATGTTCGCAGCTGCTTGGTACATGATAAGGGAACAAGTCGGGCGTTGTGGGTAATTACTCCTTGGACAGGGAGGTGGGATGGTTTGGCTGCTCTAACGGAGATAAACAGAGCTGTAGCCGCTGCTTTGATCATCCCTGTGGCTATTCTGGGGAGGGGTGGGGAGAGCAGCTCTGCGGCCCTGACACTGTCGAGATGACCACCTCCCATCATGACCCTGTGAACAACAGATCCAAGCCCGGCCCATCCTGCACCACCCTCAGTGTCCCTGCCATGCCCGAACCCACTGCTGGCATCACCGTGCCAATCCGTCTCACTGAGGGTCTTCGAGAGAGCCCCCAACAAGTCTCAGCTCCTGGTTTGCACCCTGGTATACGGGGACGCTTTCTGTACATGACAGTGGGGCAGGACAGGGCTTTCCTCTTGCTGGTACTCCTTTCTCCCCAATCCCCACATCATCCACTCTGACTTCATTAAGATCTCTACTCAAATATATTTGAGAATTATGTAGGATAATAATGGAAATTCCCTTATTATCAAAAATTACTAACCCGCTCACCACTGCTACCGTCTCAACTTTCCACTAACCATCACCAAAACCGTTTTCTGTGCATTTGCTTCCTTGTGTATTTCATGACTCCTGCCCTTCGCATGGACACGCTGGTGAGGACAGGGCGCTCCGCTGGGGGAGCCCGTAGCTGGTTCACTGCTAACCCAGAGGCAGTGGTGCTCGCTGGTTCAAGTCCACCAGCAGCGCCTTGGTGGGCAGTCCCCTCCTGTGTGGACTGTGACAGCCTCACAAGCCCACTGGAAGGTCAGCTCCAACTTGATGGCAATGAGTTGATGTGATAATGAGGAGGGCTGGACTCACCGTGGTGTTCCCGGCACATAAAACTGCTTGTGCATCACGCATGCTCACTAAGGAGGTATTTAAAAACTGAATATAAAACCACTCTGAGTTACTCTGATGAGGAGTATTTTGAATTTTCTTTTGTAAAATTGTTGTATATCTTAAACATGTTGTCGTTAAGTGCTGTCAAGTCGTAGACAACCCATAACTATCCTAATGAATGAAAGACCTGGACACTTGTGTAACTTTCATCGCTTCAAGTTCATAGGGTTTCTGGAGGCAAGCTATTTCAGAAGTGGGTGCCACTCCTGCTTCCAAGCTTGTTTTAATCGGGGAGCTCCACCAAACACTGTCCTCCAAGGGTAAACATTATCACATTTGGCACATCAGTGTCACAGTGTTCAGCATCACAGCAGCCACGAGTTACCTCTGTACAGCAAATGGACAGACCAGGGCTATATGACCTAGAAGAATGTTTGACCAAAACCAATTAAAAACAGGATTTTAAAGTCCCCGCTTCGAGCAGGCCTCATCCTCCGCCCCAGTGAGAACAGTAACACAAAAAATGGACCCCAGAAACGCCCCTTGCCTGACTATAACCAAGGAGAGACCACCACCACAACATCAGCCAACCAGCCAACTTCCAGAGTGCAGGGAGAGTCCAAAGGCCCCAGGCCAGGCCAGCCCAGCCCACAAGCCCACCACCTCATCAAGGAGATTTTAAAGCACACCCTCGAGCAGGCCTTGACCTCTGCCCCTGGTTAGAACAGTAACACACAACATACACACATAAGACAAAAAGTACAGATTCCCATTTAATACTTTGAAGTCTCTCCCACCTGAAAATCTCCAGATTCCCAAGGTCTTCCCCATTTCTCGCTGACTCCTCAGAAGCATCTTCAACCCTCAAACCTTCAGGGCTAAGGAAAGAGAAGGCAGACGGCATGTATCCTAGAACGACACAAAGCTCTTCCTAGAGGAAGAGTTGTTGTTGTTGCTGTTGCTGTTGTTGTTAGGGGTCATCAAGTCAACTACGATTCATAGTGGCCTGTGAGCTGTAGACCCAAGCCTTGCCTGATCCCGTGTCTTCTTGTCATCTCTAATAAGCTGGAGTCCATTTACGGTCACCGTGTCAGTCCATCCTGTTGAGGGTCTTCCTCTCTTTCTCTGACCCTCCGCCTTTCCCAGCGTGATGGCTTTCTCCAAGGACTAGTCCCTCCTGACAACATGCCCCAAGTAGAAATGGCTAGAATAGTGTAAAACAAAGCTCACTGTACTCTAAGTTCCTACAAAACTCTCTAGTTACTTCGTGGACCACAGATTCGACTCCTATGCAGAATCCATCAGGCAGCTATCCAGGGGAAGCAGATGAGCCTGGTCCATGGAGCACCTGCTGTCACCTCCTCTGCTCATTCCATCACGTGTATGAGGTCGCTCACAGGTTAGCATGTGGTTTACTTACGAAGATTCTTAGAGCGCTGAGTGCCCATTGCCGACCCTCAGGGAGATAAGGATCTGTTTCCTCGATAAAACAGAAAGAGCCACGGCAGCAATGGGCGCGAGTGTGTCAGAGACGACGAGGCTGGCATGGGCTAGGACGAGGCTCAGGACTGCTGCTCACAGGGTCACTACGAGTCATAACGACTCAGCCTGACAAGAAGAGGAAGCAGAGAAGCCAGGGGTCTTGGTATCGACCCAGCATACCCTTGAAATGAAGCTGAAAAGATCCCTGTCTTTCCTCTAGCCATCTTCCCTCGTCCTTCAAAACTGCTGCTACTTCCCAGCAGTAAGGACCAACTCCTCTCCCCTGGTCCATGGGTCCTGTGTTGTTTCTTCTGAATATGTCTCCATGTGACAATAG